TAAGCCGGGACACTGGAGAAGATACTGCCCAGAAAGGCGAAAAAGAAAAAATTTCAGACGGTATAATGCTTGTTCTTTCTTTCGTATGAACCTAGATTTAGTGGGGGCTATTGAGAAAGGGGCTGTGTATTCGAAGTTGCGAGTGAATGATCGAGAAGTAGTATGTTTGATAGATACAGGGGCGGCCGTGTCGTTAATAGATAAGAATTTATGTAAGAGTGTTAGTCCGTGTTCATTGACAGTACAAACAGTAGGCGGGCATGTGTTGCGTATAACGGGTACATCGAACTGTACGGTCGTTGTTTGCGGCTGCGAGGTGACGTTTCCTTTCATTGTTGTACCCGAACTACAGCGAACGATATTAGGAGCGGGATTTTCTGCGTGAGATTGGTGCATAATCGACACGCAAGCGAACGTGGTGATCACGAAATACGGGCATATCAACATGTATGAGACCAGCGAGATAGCAGCGATTAAGCTGTCGACGGTACACAATGTGACAGAGTTAATTAATAAATACGATCATCTGTTCACTGGAGATGGCGACCCATACGGTTATTGCGATAAGGTGAATCATGAAATTCCGTTAAGTGATCCGAAAGTAAGGTCATTTTTAACGCGAAGAGTTCCATGTCATCTGGAAGGCGAAGTGGAGCGACAAGTGCAAGAGATGTTAAAAGATGACATTATTGAGGAAGCTGATAGCCCGTACAACTCTCCAGTGCTGTTAGTAAAAAAAGCGAATGGGAAGTATAGATTCTGTGTTGATTTTCGACAGTTAAACAGTATGACAGAGTTAAGACCGTGTGCCATGCCAACAGTGGTAGAAACTTTAGATCGCCTACAAGGTGCGAATGTGTTTTCGGTTCTCGATCTTCGCTCAGGATACTGGCAGATACCGATAAAACAAGGTGATAGAGATAAGACGGCTTTCATCGTGGGTCAGACACAATATCGATTTAAACGCATGCCGTTTGGACTAGCAGGTGCACCGTTTACGTTCAGACGACTGATGAAGCTATTACTTAGGAACTTGAAAAACGTGGAGGTTTATGGTGATGATCTCGTCATATACAGTCAAAACGAAAACGATCACGTCAACCATGTAGAAGCCGTGCTGCGACGCATCGAAGAGTTTGGACTACGCGTCAACAAAACCAAGTCTCAGATAGCCAAAAAGAATGTTACTCTGTTGGGACATAAAGTGGGAAATGGTGAGATTAAACCACTGCCGGAGAAAATTTTGACGATTAAAACGATTCCAGCCCCGAATTCAAAGAGAAAACTGAGACAATTCTTGGGTAGAGCAGCGTTTTATAGTCGCTTCGTGAAGAACTTCAATGAGATAGCAGCCCCTCTATACAGGCTACTAGGTGAGCCAAAGTTTGTTTGGTCGGAAGAATCGCAGAGGACATTCGACAGAATTAAACAGCTGCTCGACCACCAACAAATGACGCTAAAACTACCTGTGCCAGGAAGACAGTTCACAGTGTGCACAGATGCCAGTGACTACGCTATAGGTGCGGTCCTAAGACAGGACGAGGGAATCGTTGAGTATGCCAGTAGGGTTTTGACCCTCACAGAGAGAAAGTATTCAACGATAGAGAAAGAATGTTTAGCAATGGTATGGGCAGTCGACAAATGGAGACCTTATTTACTCGGCCGGCGGTTCCACATCGAAACTGATCATAAGCCGCTACAATTTTTGAAGACAGCGAGAGACCCACGGGGGAAGTTGTCACGGTGGATGTTGCGTCTTCAGGAGTACGATTTTACGATCTCACACGTTCCTGGAAGTGAAAATGTCTTGGCAGATTTGTTATCGAGACCAGAAGATGAGTCTGAGTTGCCCGAGGTCGCTTACGGAGTGCATGCAGTAGAACAAGACCCACTAAGACTTGCACGTAGGCAGAGGTTGGACGATACGCTGAATACAGTAATACAGGTGATCACCAACGGAATAGAAGTGGATCAAACTACGGCGAGTAAGGAGCTAACCACACTACTCAGACAGAGGGATCGACTCAGAGTGAATGCCTACGGGACTCTGACCTGGCGAGAGAACGACGGAAGCTGGCTGGCTGTCATACCTCAATCGTCGCGCCACGACATGATAGAAGAATGTCACCAGCTAGCGCATACAGGCGTGGCCAGAACGACCGACCTCCTAAGACAAAGTATGTACTGGCCAGGTATGAGAGAAGACGTAGCAAGATACGTACTTGGATGTCCACGGTGCCAGCTGATGAAAGGTGACCGGTATATACGACCACCACTTCAGTCGATTCCAGTTACCGCGATAGGTGACTTGTGGTCCGTAGATGTCATGGGTCCATTTCCTCAGACATCCAATGGTAATCAGTACCTCTTGGTGATGACGGAACACGCGACACGATGGGTAGACGCCGTAGCAATCCCAGACCAACGTGCAAGAACCGTGACAGATGCAGTAGTTAGACACATTGTTGCAGACCACGGCGTACCGAAGACAATACTGACAGACCAAGGTCCCTGTTTCGAGAGTGAAGAGTTTACTTCCCGTTTGCAACAGCTGGGCATCAAGAGGATCAGAACGACCCCATACCATCCACAAACGAATGGCCTAACGGAGAGAAACAACCGTACACTGAAGGAGTGGCTGGCATCGAAGGGCGGGAACTGGGAAACGGAGCTTCCACTGATTTTACTAACACATCGGGCTACCACTCAGGAAACAACGAAGAAGTCACCCTTCCAACTGATGTATGGTAGAAAACCACGATTACCGGTACACAATGAGACCTGGCCCATGCACCAAAAGTGGAGTACGACGAAATTAAAAGCAGAGAGGAAAGAGGCAGTCAAGAATGTAATACGGAAGCAGCGCAGTGATGTCACGAAGTCTCAGATGAAAGAAAGGACGCAGTGCATTACCTTTGCAGTCGGGGACCAAGTGAAGTGTAGAGACAGGAGATATACAGTTGGAGGCGGGCTAGGTTCACGGAAACTCCTTCCAAAGTGGGAAGGACCATACACAATCACAAAAAGACGGGGTCAAGTATATACCATCCGAAGAGGTGATAAACAGAAACGAGTTAACGCCAGTCAGCTCCAAAGATGGGTACAGTGGGACAAGCCGGTCAGTAACAATCCTCAACTAGAGGATGTAGCACCCAGAAGGTCGGAACGTCTGCGCACAAAGCTATTTGACGGGGGGACGAGTGTGGTGAGAGCAGGCTGCTAGCCGATTGGTTGGCACTAATCTACGTTAATGTCTAGGTCACTAATATGGGCCGTGAGAAAATATGAACAAGGCTGTTTCAACAACCAATCACAGCAAACTTAAATGTGGACAAATATGATTCGCAGATAGATGGCTCTACTTTCCGAGAAATATCGAAAACAACCAATCATAAGACTGTGTTTGTCTGCTTAACTTCCGAGAAACAACCAATCAGAAGACTGCCTTTTTCTGCTTGCATAAGCCTTATTAATGCACATAAAATATATATAAATACGTGTTGATTTTCGTAATAAAACGATCTGTTGCCAGCCCTTGTCTTCTGTTGTTACGCTCGCCGACCATACACATGGTCCGAGGTTCGATCCCCGGCCTACTCACTCCTTTACCTCGCTTAGCCAGAAATAATGTTGGTAAAGAGGAAAGGTTGGGCATGAGGCTAGCAACCCCATCCTGTAAAAATAAACACTGCTACAGAAAATTCAAGCCATTAGCTTGAAGCCCTATGTTCCACTGGGAACGTGAAGGAAAAATTAAAAAATCTTCAATATGGAGCGAAGGCATCTATTGATAAAAGTCCGAAGTAGCTTGTTTAAAATGCTTTTCGTAACACATTAGCCAAGTTTCTGATCGGTTACATTGGTGTTGGAAATCCGAATTTTGTTGTTTATGTTGAGTTTTTGAATTAGTTGTGTTTTCTGAGCTGGTTGATTTAATTGCGAAGCTCTCATCATCCTTCTAGACATCTTCAGCGCAAGTTTTAGTATGGAATGAACTCATTTGAATTCTTCATGAATGATGTAATTGGGTCTCCTAGCAACCATTGTCGTGACTGTTTGTTAATTTACAACTTTACTGATCATTTTTATTCATTTGGAATTTCAGCGTTCTTGTCATGTGATTTATTTTTTATTAGTTGGTAAATTTGGTCTACACTAATGTGTTTGTTAGATGCTGCAGATTTCCGAATTGATTTCACAGTAGTGAAGGTGTACCTTGCCTTTCCGATTTTGGTTTTGACATTCTCATTCGTTCCCCTTGCAGTTGAAACGATGCTGCCCAGATAAGTGAAGGAAGTGACCTCCTCCAAGTTTATTCCTTCGACAATGATTGTTGCTTGTTGTTGGTCGGTTGTTTTCATTGCCCCGTCTTCTCTTTGTTTACTTGAAGTCCCATCTTTGCTGCCTGTCTCTTCTGCTAGTTTGTCGGTTTTCGTCTGTAAGTCTTCAAGTCTGTATGACACTAGACATAAATCGTCGGCGAAGTCCAGATCTTCTAGAGTCTTCTTATCGGTGGCACGTATTCGTGTCCTCTCGCTCCCCAAAGTCTTCCACATAATCCAGTCCACCACAATTGGAATATCATCGGTGATAATAGGCAGCATTTCTTACTCCTACATTCATCTCAAAAGCTTTCTGCTGAGAGACAACTTGATTTGCTATTTTTGAAACACGCTGGAATTACATTTGATGCTGTTCTAAGAAGTGATTGGATTGAACTTGTACACTAGTTAATCTAAATTATATAGATAGTCTGTCTGTAATAATTCTAGATTCATTTACGAAAACTCACATAAGAATTTATGAGAAAAAGACTTGTGGTGATTGCGCCTCATTAAATGGTAAGTGTGATTCGCACGAGCCAGCAATCATTTTCAAAACATTGAGGAAATTAAACTGACAGTGATCAACCTTATCTCTGGAACTTCGCTATTTTTCTTAATCCTATGCTAAATAAGCAATGGTTATGTAACAGAATGTAAAGCAAAACATCATCTAAATAATCATACAGATTCTTCTTTATTGCGTAAATAATCAGTAGCTTTATTTAAAAGTTGAGATATATTTACAACGCGTTTCATAACTCTATTTTTAACACGTTCTGATTTAAAACGTGTTCCAAAACGTCCAGAAAACTTATCTGGATGCCAATCCACTTGTAGTTGACGTAATGCTTGACTTGAATGGTGTACAAATGTTAGTATGTCTTCAATATGCGAAGATTCCAATGAATTTATTTCAATGACTCTACTGAATGGAGGCCATAATATATCATGATAATTGAGAATTTTATTCTCATCAGAGTTGATAAATTCTTTCCATTTCTCTAGATACTCTTCATACGAGATATTTACAGTGTTTCTTCCTAGATCGTGACTGATTATTTTTCGACTTGGCAACTCATTATTTGATCCAAGGTGATCATAAAATTCTGGGTGGTTAGTCTCTGTATTGCTTTTTTTGCGCGATTTCGGTATATTTGGTATGCCAGTAGGTCGATTACGGCGTTCATACTCTTCCCTGATGCTGTCTAAATGAGATCTGAATGGTCTGTCAGCAAAACCTACAAAAAACATTTGAAGTGTAAACGAACAAATTAACATATTTGTAAATAACTTTGCTTAATATTAAGGGGAGGATAACACAAAAATCAAATAAACTCGACTAAAGATGCGTACGAAAATGCCAACCACAAAGAATTTTTCGAACGGATATTAGCTAATAGGCTGATGCTTATATATATGATTGAGGTTAAAAATCTGCAGGACTTGAATTGACCGGCTTTACTTGAAACCCATATTTGATTTAAAATTAAATTTTGAACGTCAACATAGATTTTCGTCACGAGACAATATCAATCAAAGTACCACTGAAAAACTGTGGAGTAATCAACATATGTTTCGTCCTGCTTTCGAATCGTCTAGCAGTGCGCACATACAACCTTCCGATTATTGACGCCAGTCTATTGACCATTGGGTCGAAATTGAATGACGCATTAATACTAACTTCTGTCAATTTGCGATATAGCGCTACCACCAACCAATGCTATCGATAAACATCTCACTTCACTCTGATATAGTTTTCTCCTCTGGTCAAGAATCCTCATCAGAATTCCAGGACATCCATCCAGTAACCATTAATGAGCTAGAGCTTGGTATTTATATTTATGGGTTTTGTAAGGATTTGGATGAATTTCATGAACTAACATCGTGACGGGAGAAGATAAGAGACTTGGTAAAGGATGTTTATTAAGGAAATACTCATCCTAGCTATACATTATTAGCCATATTAAACTTCCTCTATGCCAGAGGAGAGTAAATTGTTCTGATTGGTCGGTAACTGGCCCAAGGTTAAACAAGTTGCTTAGTGAGGTTATTTCATGTCCACAACGTAAACTAAGTCCAGATTTGAGGAATAAACACTTCTACCTCTGCAGCTATTGACTTAAAATGTTGATTTCAGTTTTGACCTCTTCCTTTCGTGCTTCAACATCAGTTATAAAATCATTGAATACCGATTTAAACCTCATGTAAATAATTTTTTTAAATGGTCATTCCTAAAATAAGCTTTCTTAGTTTGAAACATGTTATAGAGGAAAGAAAACACAAAGCACGAAACATTCACTGTTGTATCTTAACTGAATTTAAATATTCGTCACTGAAAATGATAGCTAAAAATAATCACACCAATCGAAGATGAACTTCGCAATGATTGATGTGGGAAGCCAGCGAAATTTACCTAGTTCAAGGGTTTAAACAGGGTATGTCAATCGATAAAGTTGCACTAACTAAGAGGGTTAAAAATGATGCTATGCGTCCAATATCTACGCCACGCTGCACTTAATAATGCCAGTTATCAATCTAGTATTAGATTATTCAACAAGGTGTCATCCACTTTTCATGTGTGACTGTCGACTTTTCCAGTCGAAAAAAATTCAGTGAGTCCTGGACCCCAAACACTGCCATTTCCTGACATCTAAGTCAGGATTCCAATCGGATTACACAGTTTAGTTAGTTTGAAAAAAGACATGGAATCCACTCACATTATGTACAAGAAAATGAGTTAAGAAATCAAAAGATTTGGGGGAATCCTAGGTGACAGATGCCTCAACATCATCTAGAGCTATGAAAACGTATTTACCTCTTGATCATCTGGAAATTCCAGCAATTTGATTGTTTTAATTAATCTATTCCTACTCATACTTCATATCTATGTTATTTGGTTTAACACTTGTTCAAAAGCAAACAGCGATCAGAGGAACAATCATTTTTTAAGGAGAAAGAGATGTGGATACAACCACCAATTTCCGCATATTTAGGATAAAGTCATCTAAGCATATTCGAAAACTTATCAATTCGCCCTATGTTGAATCGGATTTGTGCAAACATGGGAAAAAAGCAGAAACCAATAGAGTGGTACACAACATCCATTGCAACAAATGAAATAAATCTCTACTCCTGCATATTTAATTGAAAACAGATATAGATAATTGTAATTCATTGCCTTATGGACTAAGCTTACTGGTTACAAAAGTTTCAGAAGAACAGATAAAGCCTAATACAACCGCCTATAAGCGTTAAGAATTACGAACGAGTGAAGGTTTGCTGATGGCAATGAGATAAATGCAAAATAAAGACGTTAATAGATCACTTCTACAGGCGAAAACCAACGGTAACAGTTAAAATATAAAGTGATAAAACTACTTCAAGGTGTGTTTCCCTTCAAAGCGATATAAATGTTAGACAACCATTGTGAACTAAGTAGTACTACACGGTCGGTACGTTCCAGTTTGGAGATCCTTACAAGATTGTACATTCACAACCCCATTAGGGTAGCATGTATGAACGTCAGGACTAGCAAGCAACAATCCAATTATAACAGTCTGAAATCTTTTGAATCATCATTTCAGACATCTGATAGTGTGCAATACAGCTACTGTTCCTATATTCAAATCAGTAAACATTACAATTAATGACTTCTTGCTAAAACGAAGCTAATCAGTGATTTTCAATTTTTGGTTTTGCAAGGATTCAGTTGTTTGCAGGATTCACCACGAGCTGACATCAGTTGGTGAGCCACAGGGGATGCTGGGCAGCTGTTTCGTCCTAGTTTGGGACCACCCTTCGGCAGTGAGAAGTTATAACCAGCGAATTCCACTAAGTCATGTAAAAGGACGGTCACTTGCCGATGACATTGGCTGGCGGTTGCTCTGTATGTCGCAAATAGGTAGAAGACGGGATTCGTGGGCAGTTGCTTCGGGTCCCGGTGGCTGGATGGTCTATGAGCTCGCCTTGTAACGGGAAGGTCTTGATTCCGAACTCCAAACTTCTGAACTAAATAAACTCCGCTTAATTTTAACAGCAACCACTGCTATTTCCATTTGTTAGGATTTTAATTAATTTTTATCTATTATTTGCAGTGACAGATTTGGGTGCATACTGCTGGAGAGTCCTGAAACTGGGACAAAACATCTGGCCAGTGCTCCCTGGTTTCCCAATAGTTCTCTAACTTGTGTCAGCTCGTGATCAAGCCTGGAATAATTAATTACCAGTGAGGAGAGTTACTTACAGATGACATTAGATTGCAATATCTCTAATATTGAGAGTAAGTAGTTTGAAGTTACGGGTCTTTGTATTATAGCTCAGTGGCTGGACAGCAAAATAATTGTCCAAAACTAAGACAGGACGAGACGACACAACAATTAGGTATGCTTTAGCCTCCAGTGATTCTCCAGCGGACGTCGGTTTCTTACAGACTCAGCAAATCGATAAAATACATACCTGAGAAATAATCCTCCCATTCATTTGATGAATAGTTTGCTTCATCTGAATCAGACAAAAATGAATACATCTCATCATTATGTTCTGTCGGTTTAGTTGATGAGGTTGACGGATGAACTGGACTATGATTATCAGACAGGATGCACTTCAGGATCTGATAGAAACAATAAGGGGTAGACAAAAATAGAACAGATTAAAAGTAATTCATTCTAGTTACAACTATATTTGTAAAAAACACATCCAGAAATATTGCAAATAATTTCTTATAGAAAAATTCTAAAAAATGTGACAGTTTATCGAAGAAGTGTGATTTACAAATAGTGAATGTGCGTGAGAACAATAAGCAATAGTCAGTCTACGTTATGTGCCTGATCAGGGTCAATCGTTCTAGGTCTAGCTAAAGTGTCATGTTCAAAGAATCTAATTCACTCCGATCTACTAGTTTGACCTACATAATCGACCTCAAAATCATCAAATGGTATTTAGTAACTTATATTATTTTTCTCAACTTGATCTGTCGGGTCCTTAAGCTGACAAAGTTTATCTCTGAGAGAGTTGATTGGTTTTAATGCCACCCTAATTCCAGAATCTTACAGCAGTCATTATTCGTAATTAAAGTAAAAAGACTGTCGGATACCCAAGGATACATTTGTAAAATAAACCAAGATGATATTCTTATACTTATATAAAAATATTGAATTGTGCATATAACTTAAGACTTGTCAACTCGTAATTTGCTGATGATTTGTCTATTTATAATTGACAATATTATTAAAAATGACTGCATATTATAAACTGACTATGGAGTAGTGGAACTGTACCTGATATTTATCAGGTGAAATGAAATGGTGATACCGTGCTTTTCGAGACAGAAATATGTAAGAATCACCGAAATGTAACACCATAATGATGGGAACACTTCTATCAGTTGTCAATGCATACAACTGTGAATGGATAGAGACCCTATTTTAAGGTATTTCCAAAGTATAGCTGCCTCAACTCTGAAATATATGGAATCGCTTACTTCTGGTTGGACTAAAATTGTCTTGGGAAACAATAGAAACTTAATTTTGGATGATTCCCATTTTCACAATTCCACTCTAAACGGTGAGTTGGTAACTGTTCATTAATAATGTCCCTTTTTTCTGTGAGAACCGCTACCTTGCAGATTATATTGGAAACTAAGAGGGATCACAAAAGATTATGATATTAATCTATGAAAGGTCAGTGACTGTTAATCCGAGTCATGCGGCAAGTATGTGTAGACTGCCAGGCTAGATAGAGACTTGAGGAGTTAGATATCAATAGTAGTGCAAATTAATTCAGGTTTTATCACTATTCGAAATATTTAGTTAACCATTCATTCTCGTTTCATAGTGAGACGTATCTGAGATATTCTTCGGTTGATGGATCCTTACTGGCGTAATGAATGATGATGGCTGAAGGCGTTATAATTCCCTTTACTATACTCGTATTTATTTATCTATTTTCATATAACTTTATTAATACTTACTTTCTTCTTCTTGTCCTGTTTGAGAGTGATGCTTTAACTGTATGTATTTCCCCGAAGAATTAAGCGTTCGACTTTCATTCAGGGGGTCCTGGATTCAAATCTCACTCCACTCGCTTCAACCTGGACAAGTGGGTAGTATCAATAACCTTCATAAAACAAGTGTGTCCCATAGTTTCAGACACGAAAGACCCGTTCTGGAAACTGAATTCAAACAACAATATCCTTAAAGATATAATTCCTTTGTTCACTCTTAGTAGTATAGATTTAACCGCCTTGTTTAACGCTTAAACAACTAATCACATTAGATATCAGTTAGTATTTTACTAACATTAAACTCACTAAAAGGAAAGTACACTTTGGAAAAAGGTATACATTGGACGTTGTCAAAGACTTTTTCCGAATATGCGTAGATGAACACTACCCACCCAGTTTGACTGATGAAAGGCGAACATAGGGTGACAAAGTATTTTGTTTGCGAACACCTTCATGAATCAGGTCCTCTTGTCCAGCATGCATTTGATGCTTCAAAGTTTATCTACAGAGGCTAAATTCAACTACTCAAAATGTTTACATTTTCACCATTTATGTATTAGCCGAAGCACTAGTTATATATATATATATATATATATATAGACAATAGCCTAAACCAAATATTCAAAATTATTTTGGTTAGACCCCTTTCTTTATCTTCGTCATAGTAATGTTGCTTTGTTTAGATTAATTCAATTCCTCTTCACTGTATCTTCGCCTTCATTATCATTATTATCATCACCATCACAGTTTTAATTTTTGGCACTATTTGACCTACTGTAAACCTCTTAATAGCAATTCGCTTATTTAATAATCTTTGAAAATTTTATAACTCATCCACTTCAATTTTATCCTCTTAAAAATCAATGTTAATTGTCTTTATTATTATTATATACACATTGACTGAACACTTCCTTCAGTGCCACTAATGTGTTACATACGACTATACAGATGATTGAAAGGAAATATTTCTATGCTGAACAAAAACTGTTCTTTTCCTTATTCATGAATAGATGGATATATTTTGTCATAAAATAATAAGCTAAGAAAAGAAAAAGGTGTTTCTGTTTTCAACACATGAACTCTTACATTATCTCCAACTTCACGTTCAGATTTTGATGAAATATTCCATAGTTCTTGTAACAGGTCAGTTACCTTTTGTCCACGTTTGTTTGATATAGTAAGAAGATTTGTGTGGTGGTGTAAAACAGTTTTCAGCAGTTCACAACCTACGAAAAATATTTAAAAGAAGACAACCAGATTAGTTCTACTATTCCTGTGGGGAGCGAGAAAGCGGCAATAATAAGTGAGGCCGACAAAAAGATTCTAGAAAATCTGGGCTTCGCAGATGGTTTATGTCTATGGTCGCACAAACTCGAAGACCAAAAACTTGGCAAAAGAAACAGCTAATACAGAAATTCAAGTGAACATGGAGAAGACAAAGGCTATGAAGATACCTGACCACCAACAACAAACACAAAAAACTTTCAACTGGAGAAATTTCAAAGAAGTCACTTCTTTCATTTATCTAGGCAGCATTGTATAAACTACAGGCGATACGGGTGAAGATGTCAAGAGGAGGATTGGAAAGGCAAGACAAACCTCCATTAATCTGAAATCAGCCTCGAAACCTTTGCCTCATACTGAGGATAAGACGACCAGAAAACAATAAGTAACATGGAACTCTGGAAACAAACAAACAAACCAAAAACCTATTGCCCAAAAAATATACAGAAGGAAATGGAGGTGGGTGGGACACACGCTGAGAACACCCCTATGCGACATAACACGCCAGGCCTCCAAGTGGAACCCGAATGGGAAACTACGAGTTGCGTGTGGGTCCAACAGTGACATGAGGGAAATCGCGTGAGGACATGTGATGTATAGACTAAATTTTCACATGTCATATTTATATGCCTGTTTGAACTTATCTGATCCCATTTATGACCTTAGAAGTTCTACCGGTTGTTGACTGTTTTAATTAATCAATGTCATTAGTGTTTCTCATGGTCATTTTAAAGCATATATATACACAAGCGCTGTCAATCATTTTCCCTGTTGATACGAGACAGTAAAAGCTCTCCACATCGACAGTTAGACTTCTCTTCTTGAGGCGCATTTTCGGTGGTACCGTATCACGTTGTTGTTGCTAGCGGTGGTTAGAACAATAAGCTTGCGAGTCAACAAAAGTAGAAAATTTATTAGCGCAACTACCAAGTCTATTGACGGTCATATCAAGATAAAAGCTCATGAACAACAGTCGAACCAGCTAAAGACGACTGCAGAAAACAGGATAAAATGGAGATGTGTTGTTGAAGCCCTATGTTCCAACTAAGAAAGTAATAATAATTACTGTAGGTAATAGTGTGGTGAGGGCTGGCTGCTACCCCAAACTGATAGATAGTAATTTACGTCAATGTGTACGTCCCCGATATTGGTCATGAGAAAAATAAGAACAAAGACTGATTCAACAACCATCTACAGAAGACTTTGCGTAGGCGGATACAGTTAGCGTATAAATGATCTGACATTCAAGAAACAGCCACAAAGAGATGAAAGATTAACTTTCAGTGAGAAACAACCAATCAGAAGACTGTGTTTTTCTGATAACAATAATTTACATGAAAATCTATAAATATGTGTTGATTTCCTTAATAAACGATCTGTTGCCTGGCCCTTGTCTTCTGTTGTTACAATAGTACTGTTATTCAAATGATTGATTTGTATAGAAATGTGGTTAGTCTTAAAGAAGCTTTCATCATAGATCAAAATGATTTGCATATTAGATGACAAAGGGGAAAAGGAACTCTTCAACAGTTAACTCAATTAATTCTACATAATTTCGAGTCCATAACTTTCAAATTTCATGATCAGCACGTTACCATCCAACGACAATGTCCCGTTTCAATTCCTGTTAACAGGATTAGTGTTATTTGAATCACTGTTATTATTAAATAAGTATATTTGTGGTGAGAGCAGGCTGCTAGCGAATTGGTAGACATTAATTTACGTCAATGTCTGTGTCGCTAATATTGATCGTGAGGAAATATGAACAAGGCTGATTCAACAACCAATCACAGCAGACCTAAAGTGGGCAAATACGATTCGCAGATATATGGCTTAACTTTCTGAGAAACCAGCTACAAGCAGTACATAATAACTTTGAGCAAGAAACAACCAATCAGAAGACTGTGTTTGTCTGCTTGAATAAGCTATAATAATGTACATGAAATATATATATATATATATATATATAAATACGTGCTGATTTCCTTGATAAACGATCTATTGCCTGGCCCTTGTCTTCTGTTGTTACATATTCTCTGTCAAAGCGTGATACAACTGTTTGTTACCTCTACGTGTAATAGCAATAAGGTTGATGCCTAAACTGAACCCACGCTATTGGCAGGTAGTCTGATATTACATCGGCATTAAAAAGAGAGGCAGACTAACACATCCAAAAGATCGGTTGTAAGATTTTTATTACAGTCAGTTTATCAAGATAAACGATCACCATATTCGACCAATACACTTATGATTCTTAAAATATGAGTCGACCAGTAATTTATAATAGTACCGACAGAGAAGAATTACATGCTAAAAATATCCAGATTGTTTAGAAGATTGTATTTCCTCAGCGTCTTCAAACATGTATCTAAATCAATGAAACCTTTTCCTGGAAGCAAGTAAATTTTCAAAAGTTGGAAATCAAACGTATTTGTATCTGTCAGTACATTTATAGCGCCACCAGGCATTATTAACACACATAACTGCGTGTTGCCTCTTCAGACGACAATTATCATCTGTAAGCTATTGCATGGCTACTTGGATCTGTACAACGGCCTACCCACCAAAACATTTTCTGCTCAGCATCCCAATCATCTCTATTCAAGACCATTAGAATTCCATCTTTCTTGAAAATTGTTAATCACTTGCAGTTTAAAATTATTCAAACTCTTAAATTTCCCATTATTTAATTTCATTAGTTTAAAGTGTTTGGTCATTATTGGCACATAAGCTGTTAGAGTTGAAACTCGATAATGCTTTGAGGTCCATTTGATGTTATTTGATTACTGGTAGTTAGCATTGGAATCTAACATGCACGTTTCGTCCACTTCGAGACTCATCAATCAGGTGTACCTGCATCACAGTGCGTGATGATGTTAAAACTGAAACTTAAATGCAGCAATCATTATTTCAAGCGACAAAGCGATACCTGCAAATGAATTATAATTATACCTGAACAGTTTATACACAGTGATAAGTTTTTAAAAAAAAACTAAACCATTGAAATATAATTATAATTAATTTGATCAGTTCCACAATGCACAAACTTTTCAGTGAAGTTATTGAGACGCGATAACCACCTTCTGTGCTAAGTCCTAGGTCACATCACGCTTGCAATAACATATTATCTATGACTTCCTTCTGCTGTCAACCCATCATATCTCATAGATACTACACCGAAGTACTAAACACCATACCTGTGTACTATATGCCAAACTGTTAATATGAAGAAGAACATGTAAGTGGCAATACAACCAGTAAGGGCCAAGGCTGACTGAGTTTCCATGTAAAACTTAGTATAGAACTGCACCAGTACAGTTTGCCACACTTCATGTGGAGAGAATAAATGCATCTGTGCCCCTGAGAACGGTTTTGAGCCATATCACTAAGTTTCAAGTCATTGCCTCTTAAAATCCCCAGGGGCTCAACAAGGTAGTCTGCGCCTACCTATATGATCTAAAACAACAGTAGGAGAATTCATGTACCGATTTGACTACCTATAACTCTCTTCCAACCTAATCTTATTTTAATTAACACTGCTTACCGATGGAGGTAGTGTTTCGTCATGCATCACACGTGTCCTAGACCTCTCAGTCAGTGTAGTTTCACAACTTCATCGGCTGGCTTTCCGTCATTACCTAACACTCTATGCTTAACACTAATGCTACTGACCATATTATACCAGTTAATGTGGGAGATACAACGCAATCATTCATGGTCAAAGAGAACTAGCATATATTCAGGTCTTCCATTTCTAATGGCCGTATCTTACAGTCGTGATGAAGGGGTAGAGCAAACTGCCGCGCAATACACACGTCTTTTGAACAATAGCCGGGTATCAAGTATACACTAAAAATGACATAAGTTGGTAAATGCCATATGAGCCATTTGTTGCCGTACTAAGATTTTGTCACTAATAAGTCCATTAAGGCTGATTCTGCTTCTCAAACACGCTCAACCACTTCACACACTATCTTTAAACTTGGAGCCAAGGCATAACTTTAACAGTTTTCTATGTGTGTAAGGTTTCCCCAGCTATCGAGAATAATGAACTATTCATTCCACCATAAACAAGATTTTATTTTGATAAATCACACAGTGTTATACAGTAACATTATTAGTAATATCAGTTTATATTACTGTATAACACTGTGATTTATCAAAATAAAATCTTGTCCATAATGGAGTTACACAATACCACAGTGCTCAAGTCTTATACTTATATCAATAATACATATGGTCTTCCTACTAGGAAGCTTATGAACCGTGAATGTTTTTATTCAAAATTAGGTAAGAGGATAAACCAATTAATTGGTAGAGAATTATCAAGGCTTAAAATATAGTGGCAAATTTAACAACAACATAAAAGTGGCGTTTTTAAAATGAAAATCAAAACAAGTGATTCAGCGAAGAGACTTTTCAACGAATTTATCATCAAGCTGTACAGTCGTATATATATTGCTTTTAATAAGTTATATCCGGTGAGGGAATTGAATCTTAGGTGTGAATGCATAAAATAATATAAAGTTCAATTAAAACTAAAATGTTTGTGATTAGAATCGTAGTTAAATGTTTTTATGTCCAGTCTAGAAAATGGTTCCCTGAAGCCTATAATCCAAAGCTTTCAAATGTATAAAAGGTATGTAGATGACACCTTTATTATTTGTAATACTGATTGTAACCTGATTAATATATTAAGTATATTTAATGAGTGCCATCCTGCGATAAAATTCACACTCGAAATGGAGAACAACTCTAGCATTCATTTCCTCGATGTAAACTTATCAAGAAGGACCGATGGAACTCTGAAGAGATTGATTTATCGTAAGCTGTTATGGAATGGTCAACTGACAAATTTCTACAGCTGGGTACCCATTGGTCGAAAACGAAACCTGGTCCGGCCGCTTGCCACTCGTATTCGACGCATATGTAGCACTGATACTGTGGAAGATGAGTTATATCTTTTGAGGAAAATCCTGATAGGAAATGGATTTCCACCACGTTTTATAGGTAAGAATACACATTCAAATCCGATAAAACGTGACTTATCATCCGTACCCAAGAAAATACTTTACATGCGCTTGGAATTCAAAGGGGACTTAGCTTCCGATATCATGAAACGAAGGATATCACAGTCCCTGAAAAGAACATTCCCTGCTGGATCTCTGAGAATAGCCTTTACTAGTCGACCGTTACCGTTCAATAACCTGAAGGATAAAATCCCGCTGCTGACCAACTCTATGTGTGTTTATCAATTCAATTGCTCGTGTGGAGCTAGGTATATCGGTCGTTCGACCCGAGTTTTGTTCAAAAGGGTGCAAGAACACTATCCTGCATAGTTACGAAGAGGTGGAAGTGGAGCAATAAGAAGCGCGATCATTGAACATCTGGTCGATAATGATCACCCTATCTCTATAGCCTCCGCCTTTAAAGTCATCTACAAGGCAAAGAGTAATTTACCCAAATCCCTACGTACCCGACTCATCTGTACTGCTGAAGCTTTGGCTATCGAAACAGAAAAGCCAGACCTCTGTGTACAGAGAAAATTCGTTCAACCCCTCCAACTTTCATGGTCTTAATCCCTCTGTGCTAAAGTATGGTAATCCCCGATCATATTTTGGCCCTACCGATTATTCATTTTTTTCATTTGGTCTATTCAATTTGCATTCTCTTCCTATGTTACGTCAATTGTTACTATTACTATTCTCATTTTGAAATGTGCCCGGTATTATTTCACTTGTTCCACTTGTCATTTTAAATCAATTCTTTTTTACAACGATAAATTTTATGCTAGTAAATTTCACACAATATTATGTAACGTTTTTGTTTTATTCGATTTGTCTACTAATCCTATAATTGCACATCCTTTTTCAAGTTCTATCCCGCCTATGAATTATTCTATATATGGCATTAATCTGCTTTGCCACTTGACATTTAACTACGATTCTAATCACAAACATTTTAGTTTTGATTGAACTTCATATTATTACTATTTTATGCATTCACACCTAAGATTCAATTCCCTCACCGGATATAACTTATTAAAAGCAATATTTATACGACTGTACAGCTTGATGATAAATTCGTTGAAAAGAGTCTCTTCGCTGAATCACTTGTTTTGATTTTCTAAATGTTACAATGGGAATTTTCAACGAGTTATTAAAATGACGCTCAAAAATGTGATGTATCCTGCATTACATCACATTTTTCAAATTAACTCCGTTTTTTTTAATAACATTAATTAATATTTTCTAAAATAATCAATCCACTTTGACGTACAATCAATATAATTTCTTACACGATATTTGGAACTTTTTCGTCGTTTCTTCTTACTGCTCGATTTCAGCGATTTCAATGCATAAATCAATATAAGATGAGCAGGATTGTTTCCGGTATGGTCAACATTTGTAACTGGTAGACCCAGTTCTTGTACAAGATATCTGCATAGTTAAACAAACAACCACAAACGAATAAATATGCGAAAATCATTGGTTACAGAGACAGAAAGTTGATACTATGTGGAGGAAAAACACAAGAACAACTATGAAATACTGATAGTACGTGGTAACAAAGTGGAAGGCTGTATATTTAAACTAATGTCAGCTCATGATGAAATCCTATAAACCAATCAAATCCTTACAAACCAACACTTGAATACTCCTTTTGTTGTTGAGATGATTTATTATATATATATATATATATATATTTGATTGTAGGGCTTGAGAATGATATCGCTGAAAAGAATAGCTCTTCACTAAACGTCCTTTCTTTAATAAGTCTCAATGGGGTTTTGTTTAATCTGGATTTAATTCAATGCCGATTTCTTTACGAACCAACACTAGTTGAAGGACCGTTGGAAACTACACACCATTTGGAAGCTGTTCCGTCTTAGTTCGGCACTTTTGTCAGGAGTACGTGCCTATGACCCCATCAGCACAGATTGAACCGACAGTCTTCATATTACGAGGTGAGGACATTGGCCACTGGATCGAAATAATACCAGTTTGTGATGTAGAGCTACCATAAACCAATGCCGTCAGTAGGCATCCACTTCACCTGAATACATTTCTTCCCGCTGACCACGCCCGAGAATTCATTGAATTCCGACCCAGTGGATAATTGGTCCCGGCTTCGATCTTTGCCGGTGAGGTCATGAGTGTGCGATTCTGAAGAGTCCCAAACTAGGGATAAACAGGTGTCCACTGCTCCCTGGTTTTCATTGATCCTCTAAATGATATGGGTTCTCAAAGAAATCTCCATTGTGGTTTTTCCTTAAATTCCCATTAAAGCTTAACTCCACCTAAAAAAAAGTGGTCAAATATCCTTTTTTTATGTGTGACTGCACCACTAAATCTTCATAAAATTTTGATGAAATTATACTATGCTGATTATACTACTTTCAAATATATTTAATAGTTTGTCGTATATGGCACAAATAATCAAAATAACCATAAGGCATAAACCACATTTAAATAAATAAGACAGCCTGAATGAAACTTACCCAAGCATTTCTTTATTTCCATATTTGCAAGCAATATGAACTAAATTGCATTGTTTATGGTCTTTAATATCTGAAAGTCTTCTTAAACATGAAACGCTTGTACACGAGGAAGTAGGATTGATCAATTCAACCAACAGCTTCAGATAGGCAACATCACCAGAACGAACTAATTTAATAACCATAGATTTGAAATCAGATTCATTTTGAAATAATTTTTCAGATTGATAATTGGACGACTGGGCTGATTCATTATGATTATTTGACATCACTCCTATATATATGTACAATTTGAAATTGGGATTTCTCTGGATTAAGAAAAACCATAAACATGAAGTTAATTATTCCCAATTGGTGTTCTAGATGACACTGATGCTTAGTGGTATGAAAGCTTAGCATCAGTGTAAAAATCTCTTGAGATTGAGACTATAGATAACCTTCGTTTCAGATCCACAAAACAGTCGAATAATTACATGATTAATAAGAATATTAGTGGGGAGAATTTTTTTTATATGGTCAGTATCACAATGAGGTATTCATCATCATCTCCAGTTCTTCGTATTCATTTAGGAAGAAAAATAGGATCAGCTAGAAATGCCCACTGACCACTAATATAGGGTAAAAAAATTTCACTTCGTTGGTCATTTCCAACATAAATGACATTTAGTCTAGCTTTAAGATCTTTCTAAGTGTTGATTTGCAAGCCTTTGATTAAATTCAGGATAGGTCACCAGTCGACGAGCGGAGGGTACTGGGGACAGTTGTTCCATTCTAGTTTTGGTCTCTTCATTAGCATGCAATCATGACCCCATCAGTGATCGAATCCACGGCCTTCAGGTTACGACGCTAGCCCATTAACCACAGTGTTTCCGGTAAAGAATTTAATGACCGATCCATAAATTTTAACTTCAATATATGTAGAGCCATCAGCAGCCAATGTTATCTATCGATAATTACTTGTCCTCACAGTGGACTCCACTGACAATTTCATCCTGTAGTCAGCCCCTATTGTGCGTTAAATTAACTTTCAAGTGTTGTTTCAGGGATCTGATTGATTTAAATTTCGACCACGAATTTGACAGTTACGCTTAATATTGCCCATTGACAGAGGTTAGAATAAATGAGCCACTGAATTCCGGTCTAGCGACTGAATGATCAACGAGTCGCCGTCGTAACCCGAAGGTCCCGAGTTCTACCCCTAGTGGTGTCGTGGGTGAGTACAGATAGATAGTCCCAAACTAGGACGAAACAGCAGTTTAGTAGCACTCCCTGGCTTTCAGTGGTCCTCTAAATGAAGTCAGATCATGATTAAACTTTAAGATTTTTATTCATGAAAATTCATATCCCGAAAAATTCTCAAACCATCAAAGAACAAAACTAATACTACAAAACAGTAACGAAGAAATCAGTAGTCTATATAAAAACAATGATAAAAACGTTCATTACACTTATAATATTTTCAGTCGGCGATATCCATCAAGAACCATCAGGTAGTGATAGAATGATGGGTAGAATGGGTGTACGGAGTAGAATGTTGATCATCAGAAAGCAGACAGAACAAGTGCCTAGAAGAAGACGAAGAAGAAAGAATGAAAATACATTTATCAACATACTTAAGAAAAAACCAGCCCTTCATATAAAAGCAAACAGTGAGTGAAACAATTAAAACAACAGATACAAAACAGAAGAGAATCAACCGAGTAGTGTACCACTCAGTAATGCATCTACAATTTAAAGAATAACTGTCCTAGAATTACTAGTTAGTTAAAATGCATAGCAAAAATTAGGGGTGAAACTTTTCGAAACTGATTCCGAAGTAGTGAAATAATCATAGACAACTACAAAACGCATTCTAGCCTATGGTTACAGATAGTCAAAGAACATTTCCTACACGAAATCTATACTCATATATAAATGATTTGCTCCTTTCGCTAAGCCTTTAGTGCTTCACAACATAGGTCAAGAGATTCCAGAAAAACTGATGACTACACACATTAGATCAAATATGTCGAAATGTCTAGTTTCAATACAGAATCACTTAATCATCACAGTGCCTCAGAGGACTAACACTTTGCTACTCTAAGTCTAATTTTATTTAGCCTGCCTACTTTCTATGTTTGATAATTTCGACCTTTGTCTTGAACAATACGCTTTACATACAGTTTCACTAATTCGATCTTAGTGAACTGATATATTAATTTTCAAGATTAAACACAAATCGAGTTCAGTTAGAGCAACCATTGAAAATCAGGATGTACTGAACAGCTGGTTAGTCCTAGTTTGTGACTCTTCAACAGTACACACCTATGACCCCACGAGAGGTCAAACTCAGAATCTTCAGATAATGAGGCCAACCTGTTGATTATTCACCATCTGCGACGAACGAAATCCAATGACCCATAAATTCTAATTTCGGCCAATAAAGAGTTCAACTCAATGAACCCGGCTGGTCACGACTTTCTATCAGAATTTCAGTCACTAGTGTGCATTAGACCTATTTTATCAGTATACGAATTCACCTGTGTTTGACTAGCCTAAACCATATCTTTCAATCAATGAACAATCATGAGTTCAAATCACATTTCATTTATATTCAAGTATTGGTTTGTAGGGATTTGGTTGATTGGTTACAGAATTTCATCACGAGTTGACATTGGTTAGAGAACCATTGGAACACCTGGGAGTACTGAACAGCTGTTTCGTCCTAGTTTGGGACTCTTCATTAGTACGCACCCACCAGGGTTCGAACCCAGGACATCCTGGTTATAAGGCGATAATACAATACTATTGGTATACGAGCTCAACTTGTAACCAGGAGGTCCTGGGTTCGAACCCTGGTGGGTACGTACTGATGAAGAGTCCCAAACTAAGACGAAACAGCTGTCCAGTACTCCCAGGTTTTCCAATGGTTCGTATCTTACACTGGTTGGTAGGATTTGCTGACAATGGTTCTCTAACCAATGTCAACTCATGATGAAATCCTGTAACACATTTCATTTAATCAAGTAAGTAACAGTGGCATGTATATGGAGTGTGACTCACATACACTAATCGTATAAGAAGAAATTGTCACTGCTATCTAACTAAATAAAATAATAAAACTAAGAGGAAGAATGACAGTGATAGTCTTCTAACAGCCATATCAAATCTACTACATTTCTCAGTAGTTTTGCATAATTCTGTTGGATGGATATGACAGATACTAATAAATTATATAAGTGATGCTCCTCCAACTTTTATATAACTGATTAGCTAACAATGTCACAGATATATGATATTGACTCACAACTAGTAAAGACTTTCAGTAATCGAATCACCCTGGGAAAATAGTTGATATACACCTACAAATGAATGCATACATGTATCAATAATGTTGACATGTGATTACACGCTTCAAAACTACAGAAAAGTATAAAGGAAACATTCATTCAACTAATTTATGTATCCACGTAGGCAATTAATTGTTGATCAGAAATTTACCTATCCGTAATAATAGGCAACGCTACTTTTCTTAAGTTAATTTATTTAATAAGGGAGGTTTAACAGTTAGAGAATTCGAATTGAATATAATTTAATTATGAATCCCTCTTCTAGTTGACTTATCATCATCGAAGTTGCATTTATACGATGAAAAAGATTTATCCATAACTGTATTTCACGAAGTGTCTTTTGAATTTTTTTAATCACCAAAGTACACTTAAAGTGTATCGTAGAAGAAAATTTTTTTAAAAATATCAGTTGTAATAAGCGTCTGGCGGATAGTTCTTAGATTACCCAGAAAATGCTCAAATTATTAAAAGTTAAACTATTAAATTCTTAGCAATGACTAAATTTTAAATCTAATAAAAAGACTATTGCACAAAGGTGTATCACATGTATTATTATACATATTATTGTTCCCCTGGGCTCTGAGTGGAACATAGGGCTTCAACAACACAGTTCCACTTTTTCCCATTTTCTTCTGGATCGATGACTGCTCCTAATCCCTCATTTCCTCCTCCTAGCACAATATCATCCATTTCACCTTCACACTGACAACCCACTCGTCGCTCCCTGTTGGGATTCCACTCCAGCGATGGCCTGCGTTACACGCGATGTCATTCGACTGCCTCCTCAACTTGTGCTCGATCCATCTCCATATTCTCCTACACATATGTTAAGCGATCGGCGCTTGGTTGGTTTGTTGACAGTCAGAGTTTCTTGTTACTAATTCTTTCTAGCTGGTCAACTTCATCTTCAGTATCACATGAATAAGGGACAAACAAGGATACCCTCTACACCATACACGTCATTCAGCTAGGTTATTTCACTTCAAAGATGTGTTTACTAGTAAGCCAACAAAGTGTGCCACAAGACAGATTGAACCATTTCGCCATAACTCTGATTCCATAACAACTTCATTCATTCTATTGTGTAATAAGGCCGATCCATAGAATAATGATCAAAAAACTACAAGAAGTTCATCGGTGACCTACATCATGTAGAGAACGAATGACTGTTTGATAGTATGTATCACAAAGCTAAATTACAATTATAAGCCTAGGATAGTCAAACCTTACACTGAGTACATAACTATTCAGACAGTGATTCAGAATCCAGTAACTTACATGTTTTCAAAATCGTATCACTTATTTACCAGAACCAATATACAATTTTGATTGCACAATAGATAGTAAATAATGACATTGTCTAGTTCTTCGTTTAGTGTAGACTGAATTCTATCAGTCAAGTTTACAATGTGGCAACAAAACACGAAACCTAAGTTCAAAACTTCCTGTCGACTGCCTCCAACCAACCATCTAACAAAGTCAATATAAAATAAATGAAAATCGCTTTCATGCTTTCATCACATAATGAAATAAAGTGAAATAGGCTGTGGTGTTATTTTGAAAGGTGGTAGGAGGCAAATACCAACTCCCTTCGAAAGGTTAAATAAAATATGCTGGCGAAACTATCACTAGATAGATGTTTGGTAATTAATTTCGAATCCATAATATTATTGCTCGACCGTTGACATAATCAACGAGAATAATACACATCATAGTACAGTAATAAAACAAAATAAACTGTGAACTACAGCTCATCAAGTTAGCAGAAACCTTTTTTGGAATAATTAAATCTCAGAAATACGCTACTTAGCGCCATATTCCACTAGTCCAAAACACATGACAATTTAGTGTTTCTTCTAAATCCAAATGTGTAACCACCTAACATCAGTTGCACTTAAAAGTGATCCTATGCAGACCGTAAATTAAATTAATATTCGGCATTTTAATTGTCATAAACGTTTACAATAAATTCATTGCATCCTCTAATCTGCTCATATAAAAGTTCCAGAACACGGAGTCATAAATAAAACTAGTATTTAGGCTAAGAGAAGTGTAATTTGTGGTTGGAAATTTCTAACATCGCTAATTTCAAACGAATTAATTTTGCGACTGACTTCATTTATAGACAATTATAAAGGCCAATCTAACTACTACACAAACCGACTATTTACAAGCTTATATGTATCTCAAGTGGCTAGTAAAGCAACGACTTAGATAAAATACTGGAGGTTTTTTCCTTGAAAGGGTTATGGGTCAGTAATGCTGAACGGTCCCAAATAAGGAGGACATAGTTTTCCAGTACTCCCTTATTTTTAATGGTTTTCTAACTGAGGTCAGTTCGTAATCAAACTTGATTTTGATCAGATGTCTGCAAATCAGTACCAGCAAATTAATCTAGTGCTCACTGGTGACTTATTATACGATGAAATTACCTGAATTTCTGGTGGGAAATCGTGATCAGCAGGGCCAACAGGTTGGGAATGAGGAAAAGTGCTCGTCAATGACATTGGCTGGTGATCGCTTCAAACGAAACAAAATTGGCAGAAGTCAGGATTCATGGGGGAACATTGGGTTGTGTTGCATTGGTTGGATGGCATACGAGTTCACCTCATGAGTTCGATCGCGGGTGCGATCATGGGTTAGTAGTGATGAAGATACTCCAAGAAAGACGAGACAAATGTCCAGTACTTCCTGGTTTTCAAACGTCCTCTAACTGAAGTCAGTTCATGACTAAACATAAAAAAGCTGACCTTAATGAGTTGTTTATTCAGCTCTTCATTAGATGACATGCTCTAGTGGTCACGATATTAACACTAATAGGATATGAGAAATAATATGGATGACTCATCCAGGTCACTGTAATTTTTTATTAAGAAGGAGCTATGTGAACTTCTAATCAAATAGGGAAACAAACACACATATCATTGACTTAGAAATAAATATGAATCATCACTAAGCCTTATTTTTTTTCCTATTCTGTCATTCACATTGAATTCATCACGAAAATAATTGAATACAATGTGAGAAGAATAGTAGCTGTGTTAGAATAGCAAAATGGATAAAAACAGATTTAGTGGGTCAGAGAAGCCAGCAACATAAGATGGATTGAATACATAAATAATTTCACGTCGTTACTCATACAAACACATATATATATATATATGAAAGCACAACAGCAATATTGCATCTTCCCTTCTTCCTCGTTCCTTGAATTCCAAAGAGGATACGGATTCAGGCTATTTTGCAGTTTCAGTAGCAGTGGTATCATTTTGACGTGGGGGCTAGACTCACGCCTAAGCTTCCCCTCTTTCATGGGTTAATAAATAAACTAAGCAAGATTTAGGAGTGCATCATTTGGGAATCGAACCCACACTTCCCACTTGATTGGCGAGTATTCTATACCAATGAATCACTGACGCACATATTTCCTACTAGTGTATTATAATCATCAGCCGTTACAGTTTAACTTGTGTAACACAAATAATTTTAAGTGAGTACTACAAAGATATCAGTTATCTTAAGAATAAATGTAGTTTGCAAGGCAACCCCATGACAGACATAATCTCTACGAAAATCTTAGTTACTGCAACATACACACACACACAATCTTACACATGAACCTCACTGAAACACAGCAGATCAGACGACCCCAATAACCTTTAGTCTTTTTCAACGAATTAATATATACACATACATTTAGAAGTTAAAAGGGAATATTCACAATATTAATATTAATTTTATTTAATTTTTAGTTATCATCGTCGTCATCATCATAATAATAATAACAATAATAGTGGAAGTAGAGGATTTTGTAAAACAACACTGGCGTTAGTGTTACTCAAAAACTGAAATAATAGGTAGTAATAAAACGTAATAACTACATATACATGAGGATTTTAAAAAATAACAAAAAAGAAAGAAATAGGGAGTTGGGAGTGATGGTGGTAGTTGGGAGGGGGTGGGGGCTGGCTGGCTGGCTGGTAGAAAATAAGAACTACAACGGTACAAGGCAAAGTAACAGTGGATTTTTACATGTGTATGTGTTGGTTACACGTATCTTTCAGCTGAACAATAAATACACTAACACACATATATGTGTATACTGATAAATACAAATAGTAATAGAGGTAGGTAAAACAAAAAATATGTGAATTCATATTACAGACATAAGTGTGTTGGATATTGAATTAGTTAGTTACTGAGTTAGTTTACTTAGTTATACCATAAAAAGCTGCCTGTATAAGAAAAAAGAAAAGCTAAATACGGGAGAGGTAGAGAAACAACAAATTCAGAGGCACACAAAAAGAGGTGATCCAAAGGTGAAAATAAGGGTAACAAGCGAGTAGGTGTGGTCGTCTCATTCACAGTCATTTATTTAATAATAAATAAATGAATAAAAGTCCTAGGAAAAGAAAGGCGAATGAATATACAAGAAACACACACACACGCAACAGCTAGTCAGTCAGTCAAACAGTGTGAATGAATGAAGGCAAACACTCTAAACTGACACGAAAAGTAAAGGAGAAAGAAACAACAGAGTAAGTCGTCGACTAACAAAAATGAAGAGAAATAAGTATGTACAATTAAATTCCTGAGTACTAAATTTGATTATCTTTCATTTCTTGATGATATTATCTAAATAACAAAAGGAGCGAGAGGAAAGTCAACTGATGAATAGAAGTTGACAAAACAATGAATTGTATTCACACACAAAAAAATACAGCTTACATAATTCACTCTCTGTGAAAAACACAAATAATGGGAATAAAGAAGAAGACAAAGGGGAGAAAATGTATAGACTTATTTGTTCTTCTTGTCAGTTTGTTTAATTCGCCTGTGAACCACCCGTTTTGCAAACAGTATACACAAAAATTTGAAATGATCAAGGTACAGAGAGAGAGAGGGAGGGAGACTTGATCGTTTCAACGACTATGACACCATCATCATCATGGCCACATCAACAACAACAACGCCTACATTCATGACAGAAAATTGAAATGAAACACCCACATAACCACACACACACATACATACACATACGTTGAGATGAATATTTGACTTACATATAAATATTGTACAGACATATATATATATATATATATATATATATATATATATATATATATATATATATATATATATACGAGGATTGATAAGCCCGAGAAAAAAATGCATTTAAAAGGTAAAGGAAACAACATTTACACAAAAAAGACGCGGAGTACACTTGTTGAATTGTAAGAAAGGAAAAAGTATAATCACATTGAATAGAATCAGTTCATTAGTATACTTTCTACTTCACTTTAATTCCAAATTTACTCGACGTATGAATACATATGTTGAGCGTTATTGGTACATAATATGCCAACATCTTAAAAACTTAATCAAAAGCCAGTGTTGAACAGCACACAAAACAATAACAAAAATGACAAAAAAGAGAAGGCAACTACAAAAAGAGAAACAAATAAATAAACGAACAACAATATGCACACACACATACATAAACACAATACAACAAAACTGAATGCAATAATTACAGAGGTAGATAAAAGTAACAAATGAAAGAAAGTCAGAAAGATGATGTAACACATACAACACCCCTTTTGTTGTATGATACTTCCCCGCTTTACTAATAATTTCACAGACGTTAATTTGTCTACTCAGGATAATCAGGACTAGGAGGTGATGAGATTCATAACGGATCAATAAAAAGAAAGTTGACCGATAACAGCTCCAGAACAATAACAAAAAACACAAGGGTGGGTGGGTGGTGGAGGGAAGTTGTATGACTCATTCGCTTCATAGATAACAGATACAATAACATCACATTTTCTTTATTCAAAACAAGGTAATGAGACTTTTATGGAACAATGATTGTCGTAGAAGAGGGCTAAAGAGGAGTTACACAGAGGGACAGAGACAAGATAAACTAGTCAACAACAAAAATAGAAGCAGCTGTAAAAACATAATCTCCAGTGTGGATACTAATAGTAGACAGTGAGCAAATTAACGAGTATGAGGTTAATCGACACTTTACCGCATACAGACGTGTACACAAAAGGATGAGAGTGAGCAGGAATCTCTGTGTACACACACCACAAATAAGCAAGAACTGGGGGGAGGAGGGTTTAGAAAATATCAACAAAAATCCTACTACACAATTGCTAATATAAATGCAAACAACAATAATGATTAGACAAATATCCTGTGCATCAAAAGTAATTGGCTTTATCAAAATAATAACAACAATATATTAAGCATACATACATATGTATACACTTGTGGGAAAAAAACAGGGAGTTTTCATCTTGTATTTCACATTACAATCAGTAAAACGAAATTAAAAGACTACTAGAAATTAAAAAAAAAGAGAAAACTAAGAGGTCCTGAGTTTTGTCGAAAAGAAAAACTTTTCAAGACAACTAGAAATGACTAACTAAACTGAGATAGAGTGTGCACACAAAAAAGCGGAGTGTTCTTCTGCTTCCCTGGAACACTTTTATTTTAAGAGCTAATGGAAAAGACAATGAAATGCATGTGTATGTGTATTTTATAAAGTTCAGAAGAAAAAACACACGAATACTTGTATAAATAAGACAGAGAGAGAGAGATTTAAAGACGACAGCAACAAAAGAAGAACGAAAACACTGCCTGAGAATGAGAATCAACGTATGTATATTTATATCCATCTACATGTTTGTATGTGTGTGTGTGTGATCGTGATCCATCCCTCACACAAACTATCGTGATTTACATGACTAATTAATCATGACAATAAAGAACAAAAGTTAAGGTTCATAATATAGTAATTGAGAATGAGGTAGATGAAACATGGTTTGGTTTTTTAAGAAGAATTTTTATTTTTCTGTACATGTAGGTGGAAATGATGGTAAGCGTTGGTCAACAACTGTATATATATATATATATATATATATGTTTATGCATCTTTTCAACACTGTATGCTAAAACTGACGGTTATGCTATTTGTATAATAGTAAATAAAAGCCTCGATAAGTCAAAAAAAAGAAAATAATCACAGCCTAGCACACACAACACATCAAGAAGGGAAAGTAATTGAAGAGGGAAATATGTGTGTGAAAAAGGATTGAAATTGAAAAGATGAATATTAAGAACACACACAGTAGTTGTTGAAAGGTTTCTTCAACTTCGCAGTCTTTCAACACACCAAACACTATTATATACAACTATATATATATATATATAAATACAATGAATACTCTTCATAAGATTTAGGTGTCAATCATGTCGCTCTCTTTCTCTCTCCCACCACGAAGTATCGAATATCAAAAAGGATACTATCATGAATGTACATGAATAAATATGTGTACATGTGGTTTCTAGTGTATAAACCAATCAGTCGATCGGTGAAAGAAACAACAACATGGTATAAACACACACACATGAAACACATGTACAGGCATAAAAGAAAACAAAATCTCTAGAAAAAACAAACAAACAAATAAGTAAGTAAATAAACTAAGGAAACATTAGAAAAAGACAAATCAGGGGGTGTTTATTCAGAAAGAAAAAAAGGAATATTAAAGGGTGATAAAATAGAAAAGACGATCAAACCACCATCCTTCCCACCATTCCCACGATCCATGTTTACCCCTCATCCTTTTCCATCTGTCTCTCTCTCTCGCGCGCGCGAGCCAGCGAGCGATCTCTCTGATTTACACTCAAGTGTACACACAGAAGCGACAAAAAAAATAGCACCCAGAATAAGTACAAAAAGAAACAAGAAAACAAAGTGAAAATGCTTTTCTCATGATAAAAGTGAGGTATGATGAAGATTGATGATAGTTGATGATGGTGTCGTTGTAATATTTGACAAGGATCTGTATAGTTCATTACTATCACTACCACTACTACTACTAGGAGGAGGAGTTGTGCTGCTGGTCGTCGTCGTAGTGGCAATATTAGCACTATTGCCATCACTACTACTAATAATAATATCATTTTTCTTATGAAAACAATTTTCAGTTACCTGAGTTGGTGTAAGAGCATATACAGGATTAGAAAATGAATTTAGAAAAGATGGACAAGATTTCTGTGTATCAGTTAATAACATAGATGAATTATTATTATTATTTGATAGAAAAGTGGAAGAACACTGTGACTGAAGATGTACAGACGGAGAGGATGATGCTGTTGACGAAGGAATACCATTCATAGGATTCAATTTTATATCATTACTAACGGTGGTATTTGTTGTTGCTAAATTACTCTTATTGTTATCAACTGTAAATGATTTGATTTCACTGTCTGATCTACGATCACTACTACTAGTAAGCATGACAATATCATTAGAGGACAATGCTGTTGATGAGGAGGAGGACAAGGACGAGAAAGAGGAGGCTGTGGGAGGAATTTTCGAATTATTATTATTATTACTGTACACAGGATATTGACGATTATTAGGCGGATATGACGATTGCATTGTTGTCATCAAATTAGATGATGCCGCGGTGGCTGTGGCAGCTGCCGTTGAGGATGATGATGATGTTGACGCTTGAGGAGGTATTCGACTACGCTTTGTCAATAACATTTCACTTAATAAACTTTCATTTGGTATTTTAGCAGATCTATAACGTGACAGTAGAAAATTTTCCAATTGAAAGGCAAGATATTTGATTTCAGCTAATTCTAACAAAATTCGTCCATATCTATCCGGTAGAAGTAATAATTTATTTAAACCATCTAATGATAGACAATTCGCCTGTGATTCGTTTGAACGATTTATCAGCTGACGTAGATATCGTCTTGATCGCTTCAATAAGAAATGACACAGCTTCCCTTGAATTTTTAGAACATAACTTAAATTGGACGTGAGAAACGTATCTGTGAAAAAGAGAAAAAAATCAAAATAAAGTCAAACAAGTGAAATAATAAATTTAAAATAACGACTGACGATAAAGGCTATTGCAAGGTGTTTTCACACATAGTATAGCAGACATCACAATAGATATATTCCAGTTGCGTAAAAAGGTTGGTAAGACACCTTTATAACAATCGAACTTAACAGCTAACATGATTATAGCGCATTCTTCCAGGCCCATAGTACAAAATCAATTACCTGAGCAAATTCAAACCATAAGTGACCGCCTTCATTCTAACTATACAAGCATACTGAAACGAAAGCGCGACAAGTTTTATCCTTACTCAAAATGATCTCAATGATGCTAGTTTTACGACAGACTGTAATATCAGCAATAAAAAGTTAGACAATGCCAAGTTAAACATGAGGATATTATGAGGAGCAATCAAACCTATTATTTATAAGTGTTTTATTTCACCTAGCTAAACCTGATTTTACCAGTCACTAAGGCAATCCAACATATCACTTCTGTTGACTGATAAGACGACCTAACGAACAAGGTATATAACATCGCGGAGAAAAGTCAATCACATTAAGGGAACGATGATAAGTACAAATAAGGGAGAGAAGGAGAAATAAAGCAAACAAAATAAATGGCAGGTAGTAGCAAGCAGTTACAAATACATGTTGTGACTAAAGATCAATAAAATTGGAACAGACAGGCAGATATTAGCGTATCAATAAAACCCGTTGCGAAATACAACTATTCACCAACCATGGCAACCAGCAAAATTCCACCTACTAGTAAAGTGATGCGGAAAATGCGAAGCTACGGATTTTGGCTACAAAAGTATTGAATGAAAAAAGTAGTAATTAAAAATGTGATTACTAGGAGAATACATTGTTTGCCTGAACTAAATTACCTGGAAAAGGTTACGAACCATATCTCTTATGTGAGGGCTGAAGATGTTACCCGGTTGCCTAAGGTAAAGAAGATGAAGCAGTGGAACCCGCCACACGTTGATCGAAAGTCTATTGTTTATGTCAATGAGCTAGATTTATATAATGTACAGATTTGTACATCAAAATATAAGTTATACCAATTCTGTAAAGATTAAGGATATTAGCCAACTGTTCAAAATGCAGTTGGTGGAACTATAAATGGATCTTTATAACGTAATAAGAAATCATAGTTCAAAGCATAGAGTGCTTCTTCTAAGGCAAACTATAAAAATTACGTTCACGTGACTGGATTACACCACCTGCCTAAGTTATTACACCTATTTTTTTTAGAAACTTATCCTATCACATAACTCTGCTTACTTTTGTTTTCCATTGTATAGAATCACAAACCTCCTGTTGTATTTCAGTTCAGTTTTTAATGATCAAATGATTATATATATATATATATATATATATATATATATATATATCAATCTTAACCTCCTAAGGTCACAGAAAAATACCAACAAGCTATCTTTTAAGGTCATTGATCACTGATATAGCCCCAGATAGATCATTGTAAAAGCTTATCAATTATGAGAAAGTGACTACTATTACTATTATTCATTACTATTATTAGCAAACACCATAATTTAGTTATTATAGCGTTTTAAGGCTAAAAATAAGTCTAATTAAACTGCACTAGTAGTACACACAGTATGCAGCAGACGGGATCAACTTTTCTACTCTATTTTAACTGGATCAGTTAATATATACTTGTTGTCCTGGTGAAAGTTGAGCGTAAGCTTTCAACTAGTCATAGTCAACAGTCAGTGCTTATCAACAACAATAACAGCAGCTTGCAACTGAATACAGTTGGGAATTCGCCAAATCTGTTGTGTGAAAGTTAGTAATCCTACCTGACAAATGCTGAGACCTGGATAGGTGGATCCTGTTTCGAACCTGTGATCCAACGATTAAAGGTCGAAAGCTAATAAAAATGACCCACATCTCTCTCTATCCCTCTCCGCGTAGTTTATTGAGTTTCTCATCAGGAATAGAATTAGAGAAGATATCCACAGAAATTAAAGCGTTAAACAAATTGGTTTACCGTTATGAAAAGTTAAAAGGACACTATATAAGCCTGAATTTCTAGAAATGATGGAGAAGACTATAGCTAATAAGGACGTATTCGGTACTACTAGAGCTAGATTGTCTAACTGCTAGGCTTTCATTGTTTCTAGACGTTTTCAGTCGTAAGTATAGTGTGACTGTGAAGATTTATAGAGAAGTGATGATGATGATAATAAGTCCTATTAAAATGAGGCTGCAATATTTGTTGTTCAACTTGGATGAATTATTGTCGTGGCAAAGAATTTCTAGCTTTCTCCTATTTCAGACTACTGCATGATATTATGAGGTAAACACTATTTATCAACATAAACAAAAAGTGAATGAATAAATAGCATGCTCTGTGGTATCATTCACTAGCAGTTGTACGAATAATACTGTATTAAAATAAAAGATATATGTAGATATCATGTGAACTCTAGCATATCAATAGAATTTCTTTAACAAGTGTTGGGTTTGTGAAAATGCGATTAATTTCATGGTAAATTTCGATTATGAACCAACATTGGTTACAAAATCATTGAAAGCCAGATTGAATTGGACAACTATTGCATTCTAGTAAAAGACTTTCTGGCAATATGCACCTGTGAACCCACCAGAGATTGGATTCTTCGACTTCTGGTGAGAAGTTGTGGCAGTTGGAGTGAGGATCAATACTCGCCGATGACAGTGACTGTTGACAATGGTGCCATATCCGTAGATAGACAGACATTAAAATACATTTTGATGTGGTTTTGTTCTCTGAGCTGGATGGTTAGTTTGCGAAGCTTTCATCACCTTACTGGGTGACATCTTCAGCGCATACTTCAAATTGAAGTATGCGCTGAAGATGTCACCCAGTAAGGTGATGAAAGCTTCGCAAACTAACCATCCAGCTCAGAGAACAAAACCACATCAAAATCATCCACCTGAGCTACAAATCTTCTTTATAATATTAAAATACATGATGAGTCATTGGATCCCAACCCAGTGATCAAATGGTGAAATGTTTACCTAGTGACTTCAAGGTCCTGAGTTAGATTCCTATTGGGGTTGTGTATATGCGAAGTGCTGAAGAATTTCAAACCAGGACTCGACAAGTTGTCTAGTGGTTTCTGATTTCCAATGATTCCGTAAATGGTATCGATTTGTAACGAAATCTACCTTGAAAATTAAAATCCAATTTTTTTTCAATACAATCGATTCATCAAGGCTATTTTGCTTTGTTTCGGCTTTGATCACCGATGGATGTCAGTTAGGGAGCCATTGAAAAATAGGGAGTACTGGACAGCTATTTCATTCTCTTTTACAACCTCTTCATACCTACGCACTCACCACCAGGACTCGAACCCAGGACCCTCCGGTTACAAGGCGAGTTCGTAGACCACACAACCAATGTGACTTCTCACTAGTATTCCAGGTAACTTCGTTCCATTACTAGTCATTAGAGAGCATCGGAAGTCGTGACCATTGGGGTGCACCAAGTTGATTATGAGAACAAATGCTCCCCGGTGACATTGGCTGGTAGTTGCGCTAAAATCACGAATTGGTAGAAGTTAGAATTCCTGTGCCTTTTGATAGGGTCACAGTGGTTGAGTGGTCTAAGGACTCGCCTTGTAACCTGAGGGTGCTGGGCTCGAACTCTGGTGGTGAGTGTGTAGGGATGAAGAGTTGCAAAAGAAGATAAAACAGCTGTCCAGTACTCCCTGTTTTTCAATGGTTGCCTAACTGACATCTATCCGTGATTAAACTTCAAACAAATCAAATCCCTACAAAGTAACTCATGAATTTTTTGAGCATTAACTAGGATCGTAGATGTTCTTTTGACTTAAAAATAAAATAAGAGTGTCACAAAAAACATTCAACATACACTAACGAACACAGAACTATCTTAGATGATGAATAGACTTCAGACAGTATTTATATTAAGTTAAAATGATTGGACTGTGAAGCTTTCCCCAGTCAATCAAGACAAGAAATTCAATACAAAATTCGAAAAAAAGAAATGAGTTGTCACAATTTACAAAATAAAAATAGTAAAAGCTGACTCGAATCCACCGGTACATCCCATTGCGAGTGTGTTTCAGTTAGCCAGTGTTAACAAATAATTTACATTGGTGCATTGAACAGAGAGTGAATAAGAAGGTGGCTTTTAAAGAATTACTGAGAGGTGAGTTTAGAACTCAACTACTTCTTTGTAAGTGATAAATGAATCCTATCCCATTTCAGTTATATAAAAAATGAACGAGTTTCCCAGAGTTTGATTTTCTGATAATGTGTTTGTACATCCTACACAAAAAATTTCATATTAGATAAGTCTATTTTAAACATCACACAGCGATGATGCAATATTAACAACTGGATGACAAGGTTTCAAGCATAAGTTATGGCTCATAATCATAACAATTTTAGTCACACAGTTTTACAATTTGTCTTATGTATTTTCTCCCTTTCTGTCTCTCCAACTTCCCTTTATTGTTTATTGCCACTTTCCATATCTCCAGTATAGGCATCGGGTCATTCCGATTGCACGCGTGCGGTGTTGAATCGATAAACGAAGCTTGAGTGATTAATATTATATAAGACAAGTTGTGAAACTTTGATATGATCGTGAGCAATAATTTATGTTCAAAACGTCATCCAGTTGTTAATACTGCATCGCTGTAAGATATTTAAAATAAGCTTACCTAGTATGGAATTACATTCTACATTTACATTAACACAAAAAAAAAATTCAGGTTATCATAAGTTTGAGATAACAGTTGCAATGTATCGACTCTATGATTCATATGATTACCATTCCGTAACTAAAAAGGTTATTATTACATTTAGATGTAATAGGGAGAGGTGAGAGAAATATGACATTTTTTTCATTTCATCTCTGAATCCTATAAAGACGTGATAATCAAATAGAATATTTTGTATGTATGTGTATGACCCAGAGATATTTAAAAAATCCTTTTGCCCACTA